ATATATATATATATATATATTTAGCTGTTTTTGTTTTGTTCTAGGGTCCTGGTAAAGGAGAGAGCGGAAAAGTGTCCATCACATTCTTCCGTTTATTCCGAGTCTTGAGATTGGTGAAACTGCTCAGCAAAGGAGAGGGCATTCGAACGCTCCTCTGGACTTTTGTCAAGTCGCTCCAGGTCAGCGAACAATTCACAAAACACAAAAGATTGATAACGCTATTTTGTCACGACGCTTATAAAGTCTTTTTCTTCTTTTTGTATTCATACTCCTGACTTTATTGTGCTCAGGCCCTGCCTTATGTTGGTCTGCTCATCGCGATGATCTTTTTCATCTATGCTGTGATTGGCATGCAGGTTAGTCTCTCTTATCAAAGTGATCCAGAACTAAGATGAAGCAGTTTACAAAATAATATTAAAGATATACTGCCTAAACCATTGAAGGCCAAAGTTAGTTTCGTCATGTTGGTTCAACTGTTTGTTTCTTATCAAGTATTTTTCTTTCAGTCATTTGGGAAAGTGGCCATCGATGAGAACACACATATCAACAGAAACTGCAACTTCCAGACTTTCTTCATGGCTGTTCTGGTGCTCTTCAGGTGATCGATCACCTTGTGAACAGCTTAAATCTTACAGTATTTGAACAAGGTTTAAAAGATCTCAGCGTATAAGTAAAGGTCAAATGAAAATGTCTGCACCGTCCTTGTAGGTGTGCCACCGGAGAGCAGTGGCAGGAGATTATGCTGGCGGCTCTGCCCGGTAGACGCTGCGACCCAGAATCCGACACTGAGCCCGGTGAAGAGTTCAGCTGCGGTAGCAACTTGTCCTACATCTACTTCATCAGCTTCTTCATGCTCTGTGCTTACCTGGTGAGGAGGAATTAAGGATCTGTTCTTTTTAATCACTGAATTCTTAGATCATTTGCAGGAAAACACTTTCCCTCCTTTAATATCACGTAAAACAGCCTCCCGACTCCAAATTAAATTTAGGTATAATTAATTCAGACTTGTGCTTTGCAGGCTTTATCAGGTCAAGTGGGATCACAGTCAGATGAAAGTAGAGAGGAATCAGAGGATAGTATTACAACAACTGAGCAGCAGCAGTTTTAAAAAGCTAACCCTGCCTCCTCCAATTCCCAACTCCTTAGAGAACTCACTCTTCAGTGGATTTTGTTAATCCAGACAGCAGAGCCAAAACCCTGATTTAAAAAGGTACAAATATTTTAGTAGCATTTCCATGACCTCAGGACGCTATATTTAGACATTTAAACAGGTTGAAGTAAGGTGACTTTAAACCTGGAGAATGTGCGAGAGCAGAACAATCTGAAGTCTAGCTCATGAAAGTGGAAGCTTATCCTCTTTTTAGCTGCAGATCTGAAGTGAAAATAGATGAACAGGTTACCTGCTTAAAATCATCATCAATGCCATCTAATAATACATATGGTTCTGAGGACCTTCAAGGTGCAGTGTGTAGGATTTGGTGGCATCTAACGGTGATGTTGCAGATTGCAACCAACTGAAATTTACAACTACAAGCGTGTAAAGGAGAACTACAGTGTCCATTGTTCTGGGCTACTGTAAAAACATGGCCGACTCAAGAGGTTCTGCTCCATATGTAGATATAAACGGCTCATTCTGAGCTAACACAAACACAACAATTCTTATTTTCCAGTGATTATACACTTAAAAAATCATAGTTATGATTATTACATTCAATTTCTGCCAATAGATCCCCCTAAAGGCTACACACTCAAGTTCACTTCAAGTTTAAAACTTTTTAAAAGTTTTAAAGTCAGTCTGAGCACTTTCCTTGTTCCCTAGAAGCCCGATTTACAACCACAGCATCCAGATTCATGTTCGGCCCCGTCTCTTCGTGTGTGTCTCTCATTCCTTCTATGGTTTCCTCTCGCGTGGACAGCTGACATCCCTCAGTCTGTGTCTGGTCTGTGACCTTTAGCAGAGCCCCACTGGGACCCTTCCTTTGGCTCCCTAAAATAGACCTGGACCCCTTTTTGTGCTGCTCACAGAACTGGATGGACTGACACGCGTACACGTCATTATGAAAGACCACTTCGAGAATCACATGCATTTAGTGGCAAACAATCACACACTTCCATCTCGAGTATTGGGTCTACTTTTAGCTACTTATATTAATTTACCTTAAAGCACATTAAGATCAACGAATTTCATTTGACAGTATTTTAATCACAGATGTTATTTAAGGTTAAATTGTAGTCATCAACCATAACTTGCCATTATTTTAATAGTCTTTTGATGGTACTTTTTAATCATTAAATCAGTTATCAGATCTTGTTTTATAAGTGACATGTTGGTGACAAGTAGCTGTTGTGTTTCTGTCCTTCTCTCTGTCAAGATTATCAACTTGTTCATTGCCGTCATCATGGACAACTTTGAGTACCTGACACGAGACTGGACTGTGCTCGGTACTCACCACCTGGATGAGTTCAAGAGAGTTTGGTCCGACTACGATCCAGAGGCCACGTAAGTTCCTCGTTCCTCTTCAACCCTCTGCTCTTCTCTGCATGCCCCAGAATATTCTTATCTGTCAGTAAATGTATGATTTTCTGTCTCCTACAGCGGTCGTATAAAACACATCGATGTCGTCACTCTGCTGCGTAGGATTCAACCACCTCTTGGTTTCGGAAAACTGTGTCCTCATCGTGTTGCTTGCAAGGTAAGTTGACTCGAAGTCGGTGCTGCAAACTTGATGCGCGGAACATGAGCAGATAGATAGATCTCCCTCCTTGTGCTTCTTCTGTCCTCTCAGAGACTGGTTGCTATGAACGTCCCGCTGCACTCTGACGGGACAGTCACCTTCAGTGCTACTCTGTTTGCTCTCGTGCGAACCTCACTCAAGATCAAGACTGAAGGTTTGATCTCATTCATATATACAGACGGAAACTCATGCAGGCTCATGAGTGTGAGTCTACCTCGCTCAGTGCTGTTTCACTTAAAGGCTTTGTTGCTGTTGTCGCCCTCAGGCCCCATCGACAAGCAGAATGAAGAGCTGAAGGTGATCATTAAGAAGCTCTGGAAGCGCACCAAGCCCAAGCTCATTGATGAAGTCATTCCTCCCCCTAGAGGTACAACAAGAAGTCACATAGCTGCCTGCTAGGAAGACAACTTTTGTCTTTCGTGATTCGTATCAGTAACATGCCTTCATATGAAATATGTTTTCAGACATATAATGCATGCCTTCCACTTGGCCCTGCACATTTCCATCACTAACTTCCTTTTTATTTCCTTCTCAGGGGATGAGGTGACTTGCGGGAAGTTTTATGCCAGCTTCCTGATTCAGGACTATTTTAAAAAGTACCGCAAGAGAAAGGAGAGGGAGAGGAAATCCAAAAGGAAGGACAGGGCGGCTTCTCTGCAGGTGGCTTTAAAAGTCCAGTGTGTGGGATCAGGGGGATTCAAGTTTCCACATCACATATGTGTCAGTTGCATACTGGATCATGATCAGCTTCCAAATAAGTTGCGATGTCACAAAATCATGCTCGTATATATAATGTCTTAATGAAAGCACAGATAAACTTTCCTCCTTCAGCAGATGTTTTTGAAAACAGCCTTCTTATGTCAAACTCTGCAGAAACTTTTTTGTGTAGGAGAAAGAAGATCAAACATCTAAACTTAATATTTGTGTGTTCGTAGCTAGGACTGCGAACGCTGCAGGACCTGGCTCCAGAGATGCGTCTGGCGATGGCCTGTGATCTTGAAGATGAGGAGGTTGCGGATGGAGAGATGACCGGTGATGATTTATTCGACATCGCGCCGGGAACTTTCATGACCACAAAGCCCCCCAGCACGCAGCTGCCGCCTATAAACAAGCTGGTGGAGCAGATAACCGTGCTCATGGAAAATGAGATCAAGAGAGCCGAGGAGGTCGTGGTCACAGAGCAGGTGATGGGCCTGCAGGAGCACCAGAAACCAGGATCAGAGCTGGCAGGAGTCAGCGTTGTAACAGAGCAGCCTGTGAGGTCTGAACCTCTGCCCATCAGGTGTGTTCCTCTCATTTTATAGAAATTCACACATTGGGATTGTATTTCTTTTTTTTTTTAAGTCATAATGAGTTGTTTCCTCTCCTGTTCAGGGAGGACCCCATCAGTGAGTTGCCTCCTCCTCCCCCAGAGATAACACCGGTTGTAGTCGAAGAACCGGTTGTAGTCGAAGAACCGGTTGTAGTGGAAGAACCGGTTGTAGTGGAAGAACCGGTTGTAGTCGAAGAACCGGTTGTAATCGAAGACCCAGTTGTGGTGGCTACAGCCGTAGATGAGCAGGTTTATTACACTGAGGGGGACGCTGCAAGTCAAGCACCAGTAGACGGGTAAGAAACAAGCTATAAAGAGTGAGGATAGAGATGCAACATGTATGTAATAAATTAATAAATAAGGGAATAGTTTGAATACACTTATTTGCTTGATTGCCAGGAGTTAGATGAGGAGATTGATACTCTCAAAAGAAAATTAAATATGTATATTTCCCTAAATGTAAAACTGTTCTTTTAAGAATATTTAATGACGCTAAAACTCTTGGATCTTACAGGTATGTGTACTCAGAAACGGTCTGTTCTCTACCAACTGAGACGGGCTACAATGGCCAGAGCCTGGAGAGTGCCGGCAGCATCGGGGAGCTACCATATGATACTTATGATGCCACTGGCTTTGATAGCAACGGTTATAATGGCACCAACATGAATGGACAGAGCGTCACTGCAAGCCCCACTCCCTATGCCACAAATGGATACAATGGGAACGGATACGCAGGTGACAACGACAGCGGCAGCATCATTAGCGCCAATGGCAATGGAAGTATAATGAACGGCAATGGAAATGGCAGCACTTTCAGTGGTTACACTGGGAATAGCTACAATGGAAGTGAGAATGGCGCACAGTTTGTCAGGAGACGACTGCTCCCTCTCGTACCACAAGGTGAAAAAAATACATTTTCTTTTTTCATCTTTATTAGTAGACGCTGTTGGTAATTTAGTTCTATATATTACATATATGTACAGTGTGCAGTTTACAGAATTATACTGTTTTAACAACCAAACATTTGAACTGCAATATAAAATGAATCTGCAATCAAATCATTGTTTAAGTAATTTGTCTTTTCATTTTTGCCCTAAGATGCGATGCTGATACTAAAACCTTCCACACAAGGTTATGATATTCTAGTCATGCATCCTGGACAGTTTCCTATCACTTTCCTGCTTATTGTTTCAGGTCGAAAGCCGTCCTTTAACTTACAGTGTCTGAGGCCACAGAGCGGTATGGACGACCTCCCAATCCCAGGGACTTTCCGTGGGAGCACACCCCCATCCAGATCCCATCTCCAGGTAAAGCAACAGCATACACAATCCCAAAATGTTCATGTTCATACCACCTAGTGCGTCTCATCTTGATTCACTGGTCTTCTCCTGCTCCTGCTCCCTCGTCTCAGACCCAGTACAGCGTGGACTCCCGGCCCAGCAGCATTACCTCGATGTCATCAGCCTCCTGGATGAACGCGACAGCAACTGGCGCCGCTCCTCTCCCAGGAATGATCCCCCCGTCAGGGCGCAGGGGCAAGCTCGTCTACTCCCCTATGATCCTGGTGGACGAAGCCACCGGCAACAGCCAGCCAATGTGGAGCGACGGCTCTGCCAGCCTCCCTGCAGCGAGCAGGGCACCTGGCTGGTACCCCGGTCAGACCAGGACCTTCACCAGCATGAGGATGCCACCCGTCAAACAGGGCTTCCTAGACAGAGGCAGTGCAGACAGTCTGGTCGAGTCGGTGAGTAATAATGCAGCATGGGATTCTAGTGAATGAATGGCAACCAGTATGTACGACTTAGAAACATTCACTATTTTGAATTACTTTCAGCCTACTAGTTTCATTTTGTGTTTTTTTTAAACATAAACCAATATTTTTCCAACTATATCTGCTTCTTATCAGCTGTAATAACAGGTTCACAATGTTTCAAGTCTAAACAACAGTAACAAGAGGAAATTCTGATCTAAAAAGACTGTAACTTTGGCGATACTTGATGTGACTAAGTCAGCCTGCTGGAATCTCATATTAACTAGTGATAAGTGGATTTTGTTCCCTTTCATTTTCAATGGAAGCACGTTGGAAAGGCGTCTCTTAATATCCAGTATGTACAGGAGGAATGATTACAGCAAGCAAAACCTGTATCTGACTGACTTGAAAAACTGTGACTGTCCTTTAATACAACAGGATAAGCATGCTCTGATATGTACTATAAATGCTATACATATTAATGCAAAAATATTACACAATCGTCAGTTTGAAGCTTATATAACGGCGCACCACTGAGACAAATTCTTAGTCATGTGTGATACTTCCTCTTTCTTCTAAATGTGCTGTAAATTGAAGTCTATTTGCTGTTACTGCACTGTTTACATATTAATAAATGAAATAAAGTTGCTACATTTTGCATTTTAATTTGGCTAAGTGACTCTTTGAGTTGATAACTTTTTCCGTGCATTGGACATAATGATAATCACGTAGACAGGCAGGTTTATGTTTGACTGAGAATGAGTGGCGAAGAACATAATCCCTGTTTTACATCATTGTTCCACTGACTTTTTTCTCTTCCTTGCTAACGTCAGATCCTGATCTCCGAGGGTCTCGGTGTCTACGCCAGGGACCCCAAGTTTGTGAGCTTTGCCAAGCGGGAGATTGCTGAAGCCTGTCACATGAGTCTGGACGACATGGAGAGCGCGGCCTCTGACCTCATAGCTCGCGGGGCCAGTCAGTCGATTTCTCGTTTTGAGGAGGAACTGGCCGATGAAATGAACTGCGTGATTTCTTTCTGAGATCACCAAAACTGAAAAAAAAAAAAACTTTGAGAGAAAGTGAGTTTAAATTTTCTCTAGAGAAAACAAAAAAACTGGACAGCTCAAGTGTAAGAATGATGTGATACAAAAGGGACCGTTTTGTCTGCTTTGTTATACCAAGGTAAAATATATACTTTAACTTGTAAATGCCAAAACACACACACACTTACACTGATTTTAGGATTACATGTCAGTATGTGGAAGGACTCACAACTATTCCTACACTAAGCCGTGTTTTACAGAGGTGTCCACTGAATGTGACAGAAAACTGTGGCTCTGAGCGTCATTATGACAGAGGACCTTTTTTTTGCATTGCATTCTCATTTTGTACTGTACTTGAATTATTCTCTCTTTATACACCTATATATCAACTGTAAAAAAATGAAACTATTAGATTAATAGAACATTTATACGTTGTTACACAAATAATTGACATGTGAGTGCTCAACAGCATTTGCTATTTTTTAGAAATATTTATAAATACTGAATATTGAATATCCTCTAACATACAACATGAAAGCTCAAAGCAAAGTTTCGGATTTTTGTGACTAAAAATAAAGCATTATGTTTTCTCAAATGTATGTTTTATTTTATTTTTGTTGTAGTTATTATTCGTGTGCAGTAATAACACCCTTCCAAACAGTGCACTTAAGCTGAAAGGTTATTTTTTAGTTCCATTTTTTTCACAGCAGTGCTATAATGGAGGTTGAAACCTGCAGCAAAAATACAAAAGAATGAATTATATAATCAGTCATTAATGGACCGGTAGATGGGTAACATCTGGGTTTCATTTCTCCTTTTAGAGAAAAAAAATAAGAAGCATGCAAAACATTCACCCATATGTGTCTGATGTTCACTGCTAAATTAAACACTGTTTATTCATCCTTTGTCTTTATAGTGTTTGCATGAATGTAGAAAACCTGAACTTACTTTGAACTTTTCTACAACGTGTTATGTGCAGAATGAGGTTTGCCTACAAGGTCTACAAGGTAATAAATGTATTCCTCTAATACAATCAGCTGATATGTGATGGTGCAGAGCCGTCTGTTAATGACCTGCAGCAGCTCGGGAACCTTCACCGACCTTTTTATTTTTATATCCCTTCTTCCGTCCACCAAAGCGTGAACAGTCTCCATGCCGCTCCTCTCTGCATTATCAGCCTCAGGGCTCAATCTCAAGCTACCCTTAGAATAAAGCAGCGCTGCGATTGGACAGACGGCTCGGCTCCTGTTCGCCCCACGTCCAGCGATTTATCTGACGTCACGACGCTTCACACGTCCTCGCTCAGCTCGTGACGCAGACCAGCTCTTCCTCCTGGGCGTCTTCCTCCCCTGGGCTGTTCCGGATGAGACGCCTCCCTCCCTCCGCCCCTCTGATCCTCTTATCAGCGAGTAAGCGGCCAAGATGGATGTTGTGAATCAGGTAAGGCTTTTTGGGGGGGAAATCATATATTTCACTGTTGTTTTGTTCGGTAGATGATGCTCATTCATTCTGCCTAATTTTCCCTTGTCGTGCGCTCAAATTAAGATTTTTTTTTGCTACCAATCCACCGAGGTTAAGGTGTTAACGCAGTGCTTTCGATTATCTTGGAGTCAAAATTGTGATTTATGCATTTATTAAAAAACTGCAGCGATGTAAAAGCACGACAGAGCGCGATGTAATTGGACAATTTTCCAGCACTGATGCTGCAGTCGATGTGATGGAGTGGCCCGTTGACTGTCCAAAAAAAAAAAAATGTGTAGGATGTCCAGATTTCTGCAGCCATGACATTTAGCAAAGGAAGGAGAGGATGTAGCCTATATCATCTCCAGGGTTTCAGTTAATTGATTTAGACCGCTCACGTCTCAATTAGCCCTGCTGTTGCTAAGATAACAAACATGATTCATTTCCGAGGCCCTCGGTGCGTTCGGATAGCCGCAGTAGGCCCCGACACCGAGGAGGACGGTCTCCTGCATCTCCAACAGCTCATCTCTCAGAGAGCTGTGTGGTTTGCGACAAAAGCCAACAAGGCTTCCCTGAGAGATGAGCGCGGAATCGGGCTCTCGGTCTGCTCTCAACATGGATATTGTCCGTGCATGCGTCATCTGTTTAATATGGATGTTGGGATAAAAACAATGGGGGTGAAAGTAGCCCCAGAGCCCAAGAGAGAGAGAAAGAGAGAAAGAGAAAACCATCACTGCCGCCTATTTCCAGTGCGGCCATTTATTGATGCACACAGAGACACACCGCCTTCTTTGCGGTGTCGCATTCACCTGCGCACAAACGCTCCTTCGCTTTTTTTTGTCGTCAATTACACAGATTTCGCGAGATTTGCTCTCAATTGAATAATAAAGAAAAAGACTGCCGTGAAGTGTGCAGCGAGAGAGCAGAGAAAACGGTCTGTTAATCAGCTTTAGTGTAATTGTAATGCCGGCAGGAGCTCTCTCCCACCCCCACCCCCCCTCCCCTCTCTCTCGCTCTCTCTCTCTCTCTCTCTCGCACGCACACACACACACACACACACACACACACACACACACACACACACACACTTTATTCACTGGCAGCAGATATTTGCTCTGTAACAAACACCTGCGGGTGTCAGCAGTAGAGGTCTGTGGGCTAAATGAGGCTGAAATAATCAGGTTCATGTTTTTAATCAGCATCATCATATCATCATGTTATCATCAGCCTGGTCTACTGGGCTGATTTCAAGAGTACAAGAGATGAAAATGTAATTTTTAAAAAAACTGCTAATTAATTTTTGTTGTTGTTTTGGCAGTTGGTGGCCCAAGGGCAGTTCACGGTACTCAAACAACCGTTGGGATTTATCAAAATTCTACAGTGGGTAAGTTGTCTATTTTGCATTTTATTAAATATATATTTTCCCATTTTAGTAAAAAAGAAAAAAAATCTCAGAATAGAATATTATTATGGATAAACTACTTGGAGCTTGTGTTGGCAATAAATAACGTCATCATGTCCTAACTGACAGATTTGTAACCTTCTGTCACACAGAGGTCATAAAGCTGCATGGGGCTTAATAATGGATGTGACTACACTCTGAGAAAAACAACAACATTGAATCCTCTCTCACGAGGGTTTAACATCAGACTTTTTTTCCTTTATCGCTTGAAAAACTACCGTAACTCTACCAACCTTATGTCTAATAATCACTCTCTTAATCAAAGAATTTGCGTAATATTGAGGAGCCTCTTGTATCCTGACATTGTGATATTTCCCCAAGCCTGAGCAGGAGTCACTAACAGGATGTGTTACATCAATATAGTAGTAACACAATATAGTCATAATGACAATTTGTCTAGAGCAGTTTGTTACCTCCATATGTTCAGTTTACTCCAGATGATGGAGCCAGTGAACTACTCATTAATTAGTTTAGCTGAAGAGAGCAGCATAACTGAATAACTCCATTTTGCTCAAGTTGTGTACAATTTCTGCATCTGAAAGATTTTTTTTTTTTGCTTTTTTCTGTTGTTTATTTTTTGGGGAAAATATCATTAAATGGGGTGTACTTAAGACATTGTACTCCAACAATCCAACAGATAATTTGAAAAGTTAGATTCATTAATTAACAACTAACAAAATCACAAAATGCAAAATCTCATAAAAGTGCCCTGTGAAGATTTACTGCTTTTCTTTGTCTTTATAAGATCCCAAACTGATTATCTTTGGTTTTTTGGTCTGTTGGTCGCACAAAAACACCATTGTGATGTCATCAAGTTGGGCTTGGGAAAACAATCTTGACGGCCATTTTTCTTTCACCATTCTGTGCCATATTGTGGCCCAAAGGATTCATTGATTAAACAAGACAATAATCAGCAGATTATGACTAGAAGATCAGTCATTAAGGATGTTGTCCTACAGCTATATCCTCATAGAGCAGGCTCACACTGAAGAGGCTGCAGGGTTAACAGTGGTGCCTCTCTATTGCAGTTGTCTTCTGTCTCCACAGCTGGGGCACCACAGTGGTAATAGTGGAGCTAATTACCCTCGCTGGCCCCCCAGCTAAGCCTCTAAAATGTGCCTTTTCTTATCTTATGTAATGCTTTGTTAAACACTGATGTGATGTTATGAACTGGTTCTGACTGTTTGTGGTTTGTGATTTTGGTTACGGCAACCAGTTTGCATTATCAACATAGTGAATTATTTTTAATGCAACAATACCATCATTTTTCTCGTTCTGGCTGCTCACATGTGAGGGTCTGATGCTTTCCGTTCTAATATATGATAGAAAGCTGAATATCTTTGGGTTTTTGATTGATGCTCTAGCAAAACAAGCTATATGAGGAGGTCACCTTGGGATTTCTTTCACTGTTTTCTGATATTTTATAAACAAAACAAAAAATCGATTAATCAAGAAAATAATTGGCTTTAGGCTTACATTGTCAAATACACGATAGCTGCAGCGCTAATCATTTTAATAAGCCCTATGTTCCTCATTCAATTTGTGCATGCCATGTAATTATGAATACATTTTGGGAGGGTAGATGAGAAGGGAATTGAGGAGGGGATGCCCTTCCTGCACATGGGTCCCATAATTGTTAGCTACACCCCTGATCCTCAGTATGAGCACACACTTAACACAAACCAGATGAAAACGTGCATGCCAGAGTGGCCCTAACAGTGTCTCACGCTGTAATGGGCTCTGCAGATATGCCAGAGAGCAGTCAGAGGCATGAGTGTACTGCATGACTCTGTAGTCCTTCCCTGGAGCTGTGTGAGTGTGCCAGCACCTCATCACTGCCTCCCTGGGTCACAGCAAGCCAGCAACCAATCAGGAGCCTCGCTCAGGAGGCCAGGGCCCATGAATCATCTGTCAGAGGGGCCTGCATGCCTCAACGTCAGACTAGAGGAGGAGCTGCTTCTCTTTCTGGATTAATATGGGCATACACAACCAGCAACACAGTATTTTTAGGGCAGGAAAGAGGAGCTTCCCCCTCTTTCAGGGATTCTTCTCTAGAATCGGACCTTTTTGGGATTTTTGTTGCAGCCAGAATGTGCCAATTTGCTGTGGTCATATTCATATATTTGAATTTTAGAGATGAGATTAAATGGAAATGGATTGGATCAGTTGAGACCGGTGGAGGATGTGTGATTTTTTTTTGTTAAAGATTTCGTCTACATTTGATGATAAGAATGTGTGAGATTTAAACAGCGTTCAGTATGTGTGACTCATGTAGCTTTTCGCACCTCCCCACACCACCCCACCCACACTCTCTGTCTCTGGGGAAGAGTGCTGACAAAGCCTAGATTTGATGGATGCTGGAAGACATTGAGTTCCCAAATAACACTGATGTGGAGCTCAACAACAGAGTACGCAAACAGCCTCCTGCCTCCGCCGCTACACGATGGCACTGCTATGTTGAATTTCATCTGAATACAAATTTCACTTTCTGTCTCATAAAAAGGCTGTTTGTGAGAACATGATTCACTTTGCTGTAGTCCCTAATGTGTAATAAAGGCTGTTGATTTTGTTGTAGCTCAGGGGCTTTTACTGTTCAGACGCTTGGTGACTCTCTGTGGTTATTATTACTCCAGGGCCTCTGGTGAAGGCTCAGCTTGTGTTTATTTCTGTGCTTTTGTGCTTTTTGGCTATGTGTCGACATGTAAAGAGCTGCTTATCCTCATCCAAGGGTTGGTTTTTAACATTTTAGTTGCACATGAACGCGGAAATCATTTAATATTTTTGGCATAAAATGGTCAAATTTGAAAAAATGTAATATCTTCGCAGAATATCTTCGCAGAGCAAGATCGGCCGACATTAGCTTATTGCAAATATATCGATATTTGCATAAATGTTGTCCGATAACTAACAAGTAATTGCAATACAGAAATACCAAAGATAATAACTATTATGAGTGGAAAAAGGATCTAAAAAGGAGTCTTTAAAAAAATAAATATCCAGATCTAAATGTTATATGTCTTATATGTTAATGTTAAGAGGGAAAAAAATATATTGTTTGGTCAAGCTCTACAGTTGGTGCTTTTATTGATCGTTTTTTTACAGAGAAAGACAGACAGACAGTGTGAGAACAGCCGTAGCAGACAGATCGTTCGTGTCTGAGTGAGTGAGATTGTGTATCTTCACAGCACAGAAGAGCTGTCAACCATCCAGCATACCAGGAGCAGTAGAAACCAGCCTCTGCCTGCTCGCTGTGCGCGACGCTGCCAATAGTGTTACCATGGCACCTGACACTCAGTGTGCCACCATTTCTTTTTTCAGTCTGGCTGGCCCTCTTCTTCCTCCTCCATCACTCCTCCTTCCGATACGGACGCAGGGAGCTCTAAAATCGTTGAACCTTTTAGTAATAAAAACAAATACCTGCTGTGTGTGCCATATTCTAAACAGAATTAGATGGATTACGATAGGATAGAATGTGTGAAGGATTGTGCCCACACTGCAGTTCTACACATGCTCTAGGTGTTGATTAATTGCACAGCTGCTGCAGCCTTACATCCCATTATTCTGTTTGGGGTTTTAAAGAGAAAGTACTACGTAAAACACAACTCACGTTTTGCAGGCCTTTGTCAACTGTCCATGAACGTGACATCGGGAATAATACATGCACCAAAATATAATGAGGCTCAAATATTTAAGATAGGCCAGATCAGCTCCCAGTGAGATTGTCATAATAATGTTGAAATTATCCGTGTTTCAGTCTGGATTTTAACTCAAAAGCTTGACTCCAGATGGCACAATTCTTTGCCTGAAAGTGATAATAAACTGTATCGTTTATCAGCAGCCTCCTCTCCCTCGTCCCACACACTTATGCAGCCACTTTCATCACGTCTGCAGTCATTTGCATTGGTTATTAAAACCTGATAATTGGCCTCCTACCAACAACAGGGAGGGAAGGTGTTGGGTGAGGACATTAGAAAATAAAAATATAAGAAACCCTGCAGGAACGGAGCAGGATGTGTATCGCCATCACAATGAGGCTCGCTTTAGGCGGCCGGTGTGTAAATCCAACAAACGAGCTTCCGCCTCACATTAGCTAAAAGATGACTGTAAATAGTTAAGTGTGTTGATGCTTGCAGCAGGTAGACAGTACTACAAGACGTGGCATAGTGTGTGCGTGTGTGTGTGTGTGCAGATACAAGCTCATGTGTTGGGGTGTGGCTTTGTGTGTGTTGTGACTGGCTTTACAGTAGCTTGTAGTTGAAACTTGGTGACAGATGGTCGAGCACCTCAGTCAGATTAATAGCTGGATTTTCCATCCAATCGGATCTGGCCCGCAGCGCAGGGAGGGTGTGGTAAAAATAGTCTGATTTGTCTAATCTTCTGCGTGTGAGTGTGTGTGTGTGTGTGTGTGTGTGTGTGTGTGTGTGTGTGTGTGTG